TTGACAATCCCGGCGGTGTTGCGTGTTTCGCTGAGTGCTTCCTCTGTTTCCCCCAATGTGTATGTGGTGTGAACGAAGCAAACCACCGCGGTGTGTGTGTGTCGGAGATCTCCGATGGCTTGGCTGGGCGAGTCTGTTCGGATATCCTATGGTTTTAGGTACACATGTCGGTGAAGCACGGCGATCTGATCTCCTATGGTTTTAGGTACACATGTCGGTGAAGCACAGCGATCTGCTGTCGTAGCACGACCAAACCGGTGTGGTCAAGATCGCCCTATTTTCTTGCTCCTCAGAAGCCAGCAGATCATCAAACCGTACTCTGAAGCCCTCGTTGTGTTCGAAAAGGAGCGAAACGTTAGACGGTCGCAAATTAAAAGTTGGGCCCCTGGTAGATACAGCCTTTTTTTCCCTCGTGGGGATGAGAAGGGAAAAAATGTCGCTCACTTCGCTCGCTGCGCGGCTCATTATAAATATTGTGAGATTTGCCCCGCACCCAGCGGGAAGTGTGTACGCCTGCTTCACGTCCCAGTGATTGAGATTCATGCCCCTCTCGCTTGCTACCGCAAGCATCAGTTTAATGGGTGCGGATGATGGGCAAGGGGAACACGAATGGATATAGTCCACGTTCGGGATTTGCGACAACTCCCTGGCAACCAGACGCGCTTTGACAATCTTCCCTTCCTTGTTTGTCTTCAAACTGAAACACCACTTCGAGCCCACAGGTCTACGCCCATCTGTAGCGCCGTCTACAAATAAACGAAAACGTTCCCGTGCCCACGTGCACATCAAACTCTTCCCTTATGGCCTGTTCCCACCGCTCTCTGTACTCGGACTTGGCAGCGCCGCCTACGTTCATGGGGGGGGGGGTTCTTAGTCACTCGGACACTTGCCTATGGGGGATGCACTTCGCTCGTAGGATGCCAGAGATGTCTCGAACGCGTCTGGCGAGTTGAGCATAATGTCCTCCGCCCCCAGCAGGAGGCCCTCAGCCTCTTGGCGCGCGGTGTAGTCCTCCTCAGCGCGCTCACACAGGAACCCTCCCACCACTCTCGTCACCAGCCTCTAGCCACGCGAGGTACCGTCGAGAGCATCCAGCGGTCCAACTCCTCCGTGCTGTCGATGGGCAGTGACACGTCTGTGTCGCCCACAGGATAGTGCCTATTAGCAGCTATAAACTGGCCGTGCAAGTCGACGGTCTTTGCGACTTGGGCGAACGATTTTCGCCACGAATCAATACCGTGGCCGCGGCTCTTTCCGTCTAAAAGCGGGCATTCACCGTCACTATTTTCTGGTGGCTACTGCTGTAGCAATCGACGAACTCGTTATGGCCTCAAGTCACGGGTTTCTCATCTGGGGTTACCCCCCTCGCTTCCCCGTTGTTCGGTCCTACGCCCGGGCCCACTCCGGCTGGTCCCACATTATTCGCCAGGAGTATGCTGGCCCAGTCGCTTCCTAGCAGCTGACGTTGTGCCTGTCCACCAGCCGTTGCTTGCTGGAGAAGCCCGCCGCCTCCGCCGCGCGGCTGCATGTTGGTATCCGGGGGCGGCAGCGCAGGTAACCCTTCTGGCTTCGTCCACCGCCACGCTACCAGGCACGTCCTTCAACATCGACTCGTTCACGAGGGGCGCCAACCGAGAACCCTGCAACTGCAAGCTTTCAAGCTCCGCGTCAAGATTCTCTAGCTCTGGCGCGCGGCTATCCGCTCGCACCATCGAGGTATTCATCTCCGGCGTGGCTCACCCCAATGCGACTTCCCTCAAGAGGCGAACCCTAGATTATTTGCGGCTTGGACAATGAATTATGTTCGAGTTACACTTGTCTCGGTGGTGTATTAACTTCGCAAGAGGAGATAGTACCTCGCTCCACATCCCCCTTGGCAAGTCTTGGTGTAGTGCTTCACCGCGGAGCACTCGTCAATGCCGTAGGAGGTTGCATCCATCGATCTCACTCTCATGACCCTGTCAACGTATTCCTGTTTGGGGCACCGCGAGCCGCCGTATCCAATCGCCCTCCGGACAAAGTCAGGACTCACTCCCGGTGTGTATTGGGGGAGGGACTGTCGGTACTGTTGAGAAGCACGATGACCACTAGACTACCAGTCAGCGGCTGACTGGTAGTCTAGTGGTCATCGTGCTTCTCAACAGTACCGACAGTCCCTCCCCCAATACACACCGGGAGTGAGTCCTGACTTTGTCCGGAGGGCGATTGGATACGGCGGCTCGCGGTGCCCCAAACAGGAATACGTTGACAGGGTCATGAGAGTGAGATCGATGGATGCAACCTCCTACGGCATTGACGAGTGCTCCGCGGTGAAGCACTACACCAAGACTTGCCAAGGGGGATGTGGAGCGAGGTACTATCTCCTCTTGCGAAGTTAATACACCACCGAGACAAGTGTAACTCGAACAT